CTGGGCAGTAAGTGGAAGCGGGCAACGCAAAAACCAAACACCGGCCGTCACGAAGCACTCCGTTGGGACAAACCGCCAGGGGCTTCATTGAATGCGTCATAATGCACTGTGTCTGCGGTAAAGACAATTCAACAAAATAGCCGCACAAGCTTAACAACGAGCAAGCTGATAATTTGACAAACTGAATACTGCATTCAACGGTTGGCGCCAACAGGATACATCAGGGACACTCGCTATCAATACTAGATACATGTATAATAATATATATATATATATATGTATATATATCCGTATCATACGCATATTTATGCACACATATATACATACACAGATTTGCAGGTCGAGCTTGACGTGCGTCAGCTTACCCCTGTCGCATCCATCACATAGGGATGTGGACACTTCTTCGCGGGTGGTGGATCTGCATGTTTGTGTTTTGCATCTGGCTTAGCCAGAACAGGCCCCAAACAAGTGAATAAGAGAGCCACCAGGGCTGCAGTGACTGCATGGTGGTTCAAGTTCATTGCTGAATTTTGTAGTGAGCTGCCCCTGTTTTTATCTTTGTATTTTTCCCTGTCGCATGCATGAAGTCCCGGTAATACGAATATCCGCGCGCACTAGAATGACGGGCATGTGAAGTGGGGAAGGGACCATTGGCTCACACGAAAGCGGGCGGAGGCTGGTTGAACCTAAATGATTCGGGGTCTGGCGCTGTGGGCGCGCGGTGTCTAGATACCTTGTGTTGAGGCTATCAATCAAAAAAACACTAAATTTGCAACAAATGAACGATACATTTCTCGCTGTGCCGCTGACGACACGATAGGGGGGGGTGGTCCATCAGCGGCGGACCGCGCTGGAAACAGAGGCGAAATTCACCATAAATGCTACCATCTTTCATCCCCAATTCAAATTAAAAATAAAGAATGAATAGTATTGCAAACTTTCAATAAAGACCTAAAACCAGCCCAAAAAGGAGATTTTGGGACTGCTGCAAACTGTGACAGGTGGTGGCAGTAGCGGCTGCTGTGGGGCGGGAGGGCCCTTAGAGGGGGCCCCTGCGAAGACCATTCCGAAGTATTTGCTCTAATTGTAATAGCCAGTGAGCCTTCTTTTGTATTGTGTCGACCAGTGCGAAAAGGATCTTTAAATCAAACGAAGGCACGGCTTTGCTAGTGAGGCAAGCAAGGACGAGCTTCTGAAAGGAGTAGTTCACTAAGCTTGAAATTACTAAACCTCGGAATTATAGCACCATGCATTTTAAGAATATTTTTTGTCCAATTTGGAACTCCCGCTCGGGCTGTCCTTATTACGAATTCTATACTATCATGCAATACATCTGCAGCGGTTTCCGCGCTGTCGGCGTAGTTGCATCTTCACGGCGCTGTTGTTTCAACTGTTTTGGGAGCAAATTATTGTAATAGTTAGCCCGGTGCAGAGTCATTGCAGATCCACAGCCAGCGAGTGACTCAGAGGATTTCAGAACCGTCTATATTGTGACATCTCAAGGGGTGTTTAATTGCAATACCTAGGTGAGGGTTCACTCCTTTCTTTCAAACGGCGCTACTCGTACGCATTTCCACTGCCGTACTTGCGTGCAACGCTCTCCTATATAGTGATGAATGCTAGAGACTAGAAGGCAGACATAACGCGACCCCATCCGCTGTAATCTGGAAAATCTCCACTTAGATAGTCCGTGCCCTATATATTTACTGTCAGTTTTAATTAGACTTGAACTAAGTTCCTCTGGATTACGTATCATTACATCGAATTAACCCACATGCTCCACCGCATTTCAGGAGCTCTGATCCTTGAATTCTTTATTAAAATTTATACCTTTAATTTTTATATTTTTAGTAAATCTAAATT